AATGGAATACACTGTGGGCAAAAAATGTGAACTTCTGTAGCAGCAGTACGAGTGGGAGTTGTAGTAGAAATAGAAATAGTGATAGCATTAAAAGTAGTAGTAAAAGCAGCAGTAAAAGTATTATCAAGCGTAGTATTATAATAAAGCAGCTGTAGTAGTCATGAAGTAAATTCTACTTCATTGCCTATATGAGTAAATATGACAGTAACTGCAAAAGTAGAGTAAATATGAGTAGTTGTAGTAGAAATAGTAGTAGTAGCAGTAGTAATTAGTAATTTTTCTCATTTATTACTAATAATATCAGAAGTAGTATGATCACTTTAGTAGTAGTAGTTGTTGTAATTTTGGTAGTAATAGTGGTAAAAGTAGTACAAGTATTAGGCCTAACAGTAAAAGCAGTAGTGTAGTAGTAGTAGTAGTAGTAGTAGTAAATATAATGCTGTACAACTAAACTGTAACCTGAAAATCTTGTAGTAGTAACATTCTACTAATAAAATACAGCAAAGCATAATAATAATACTTGTAGTAGTAGTTGTAGTAGGTAGACTCAGTCCCAAAGTACATTTTAGCAACATGATTTTACTAATTCGGATTTTTTTTTTTCCTATAATTTTCTCCTTAACTGGAGCAAGGCAAACTTTATCCAACAGAACAAGAGAAAAAGAGAATTGGCAAACATCTGTACTATACTTTCTACTTTCTAATTCTCTGCTACTATCATGAACTTCGGCAGTACTGGTATTAGTAGTTGTGGTAGTGGTAGTAAAAATAATAGTGTTAACTGAAGCAGTAATTGCAGAAATAGTAGTGAAAGTATTTGTAAACATATAAAAAAGCAGTAGTAATCATTCATATAAGCAATGAAGTAAATTGTACTTCATTGGTGGGGGTGGTATGACACTCAATGCCTTATAAGTTTTCACAGAAGTACATTTTAGCAACATAACTTTTACTAACTCAGATTTTTTTTCTATCATTTTGTACATAACTGGGGCGAGACAAACTTTATGCAATAGAAAAAAAGCGAGGGAATTGGCAAACATCTGTACTATACCCCTCGGCTACTCTCCAGGGCCAGGCAGGTGTCCAAGTGACTCTACAGTATATGGATGTGATGGGAAACTTAGAAATGAATATATCACTGCTACAACTCCATCAGCAGTCTCTTGTGAACAGAACCTTTTCCACTATATTTAAAGGGCCCATATCATGCTATTTTCTGATCTATGTCATAGTTTGTAGTAGTTTCCTCATCAGTCATGCCTGGAGTTGTGTTTTGTTTCGTTCATACATGTTTAACGCACAAATCCAATATATTTAAGCTGAGTTCTTCTCTCAAAATTAAAATAGTCTGTTCTGCCTTGTGATGTCATGTGGTAATACAGTTTCAGTTTCAAATTATTTTACAGTAATTCTCACACAAGCAAAACAAAAGAACATAAATATACAAGAAAAGATGGATAGAAGGATACAGCTAAGGGTTTTCCATAATTTTCAGCTGTTCCACATTCCTCGTTAGTTGCACAGCAGATTTTAGTTTCATACATTTCAGAGAAGAAAAAAAAAGACAAAGCATTGAAGTTTGGTCGACTCTTAAAGAATCTATTTTTATGTATAAAAAAATTCCCTAAAATGATTATGGAGTCATCCTGATAATTATTTACTACAAAGCCAGACACATTTTGTAATTTAACATTTGGAACTTACAAATGTTTTGATAACCAATGATGTAAATCCTCCCAAAAGGCATTACTAGTATACATACAACTAAAATATATGTCATTGCAGAAAGAACAATTAGTGATGTTTACATAGAAACATGTGGTAATACAGGTGCTCTATTGTATTTTTAAACTCCAAGCACCTTCAACTGGAATCATTTGGATGATTTCAGACCTGGAAAAATAATAATAATAATAATAAACTTAACTTGAAAATTACAGCTTTGTGACATCACAAGGTGGAACAGAGCATTTTGAGCTTTGGAGATATAGACAACACAATACTAAAGGATTACTCAAACGTGATTGAAACAAAGCACAACTCCAGGCATGTTTTGAGAAGGAAACAACATTATAACGTGGCTTAACGCTTACAGGAGTCAGTTTTGCATAATATCGGACCTTTAAGCTCTAGAATCTGTTTGGTCTCTTATCGATCGCTGTATCGCTCCGCTGCTGTCTGCTGCAGGTCCAGTGTGTTTGATCTCTGGATTATTGATTCCTATATATGTAGATGATACGACTAAGCAGCTTGTAGCTTCTGCGCTTTCATTTCACCTGGGGGAATATTCACAAGCTGAACCCAACCCTATAACCAATGATTATTTTTTGCAGATATGCGGTGATATAAAAAGGATTGCACTTTTGAAAGATTCGCTCGCGGCCTACTTTGATCCAATCAGAAACTGTACGCTGACATGAATTTGCATGGGGGGGGTGATGTAATCGTGAAATTGTAATTCTGGCGAGCGTCTCCATTCCCACTGGTTCCAAAGGACATCTTTCTCAACACAGCATTTGTCAAATTAGACTAGACTATGATTCTTCAATTTTTTTTTTTTTCTCCCCTCCTCCCTTCTCTACTTTCTTGTTCCAGCCTTTGTTCTATGGTTGCAAGTCTCATATATAATACATGAGGATTGGGGGGCTTATACCGACTGTTATTCCCAGGAAAGAAACTATATTTAAGAGCGGAATAGGTCAGGTACGGCGCAAAGGGAGAAGCGTCTGACTCCTGCCCAAAAGGTGCGAGTGAATGAATAACATTTATAAACCCAAAATAGACACTGACATGGTTACTGCGATGGCACTGTGCCTGGAACATCGTTAGCTTGTGCGTGTTAGCTTGGAGTAATGTGGAAGCCCTGAGCCCTCCAGTGTCTAGTTTGTTAGAGCTGAAGTTTGCTTTGTCCTTTTATCAAAGAGATTGGGGTCAGGTTGAATTTTCAGTTAGGTTAATGTTAAACCAATGGAGATATGCTAAATACAAACTTATGCTAATGCTAATGCTGATGCTAATGTATCTCTGTGGACTCTTGGCACATGTTGCTAGTAACACAGAGTTTTTGTAGTTTGATTGTAAGCTCAGTTGTATTTGGATTGTGTGTCTAGTAAAGTTACAGTTACAAATTAGGGTAACACTTTATAATAACTACACCTTATTTAGCCTTAATAAAGCATGAACAAAGACTTAATTAATAATGATTCACGCTTAGTAACCACTTAATTACTACCTGAATTAGCACTTAACTTACCTGTGCTGTAAATAGTAACTCAATACTTCTTAATTACTCATGAACTAACCATTTGCATGTTTACAAATGTGTATTTAAGTACACATTTTAGCATTTATTAATGATTAGTAAGTTATGAGAGAATGATAATAATTCAGGCAGCTGTTATCTGTTAGTTAAGTCTTTCTGAAAGCTTTTCTAAAGTGAAGACTAATTATGCTTTATTAAGCATTTGTTAAGGTTGGTCAAATTCCAGAGAAACAATAATGCATTACTAGTAAATCATTCTCTCATGGCTTACTAATCATTAATAAATGCTCAAATTTGTACTTAAATATACATTTACAAATGCACACACAAATGGTTAGTTCACGAGTAATTAAGTAAGAAATACTAATGAGTAACTATTTACAGCACAGGTGACTTAAGTACAAGTTAAGTGCTAATTCAGGTAGTAATTAAGTACTTACTAAGTGTGAATCATTATTAATTAAGTCTATGCTCATGCTTTATTAAGGCTAAATAAGGTGTAGTTATTATAAACTGTTACCCAAATTAGACTTAGACAAACTTTATTGAGCCACAAGAGAGATTATTTGGACATTTATGCTGTATTCTGAAACCTAAACTCAGGCTAGTTCGTTGTAATGTTAGTTGGAATTATGTCACAGCAAAAATGTTAGCCACACAGTAAATGGGGAGAATTGTCTTTTCATTGTTTTGTTTTGTTCTTTTTGATGTGTTAAGTTGTGTATGTGTAGAGAATGTGTCTTCTAAAAACTTTGCAGTGACATTTAGACTTTCTTTCACATCATTTGACAGTAGACACAAGTTTTTTCTGAACATATAATAGTCAAACTGACATCATTGAGTCGCCGACCTCTAACATTAGCTAACAGACTCTATTTATTAGCAGAGAGTAGCGATACCTGACGTTACATTAAACTTTCTCCGGCATCATATTTTCCCCAAATGTTGCAATCGAACACATTTACAATAGATGTTGGGAGAACGTTCGTAACTCTGATTTATCGACTACCGACTAATAGGACGCGGCATTAGAATCAGTTAGTGGAGGCATTCTCCAACTGACCCCAAGTTCGTCAGTTCAATCCTTGCTAGTTGGGTTTTTGGGCGTCTTGTTTATGTCAGATTCTGTGGTTCCATAGACAACAAATGGCAGCTACTTTTTTTTTTTTTTTTTACAAGCACTGTGTTGAGTGAATGAGTCATGTATTTGAAACTAAAATATATTTTCTGTATGATGTCTGTGGTTAGATTTTATAGTAAGATGGACTTTTTGTTGTGAAAAGGCTATTTCTCGAACTAGTGTTTTGATGTGATTCCACAGACGAAAAGTGGCAGCTACTTTATTTGTGTCTTTGAAGCACTGTGTTGAGTTAATGTGTAACATAGCCAAATTGACTAAAAGATACTTGACTGACTGCTGTAGATCTTACGTTAAGATGGACATTTTGTTGTGAAAAGGCTATTGCTTTAGCTTGTAATTTTTGAAAGCCAGTGTATGTTGACGTTGTTTTGACAGAAATTACCTTATGCTTCTCTAAGCAGTAGTGGATTTGCCAATAGACTGACATGATTCAAGACTCCTTTTTTATGTGGCATCAGTATTTTATAGATCTTTAGTGTAGTTTTGCGTACACACTCTCAACATTATCATCAAACACCCACACACCCTCATTTTCTGTTTCTACCACAACAGATCGAACCCTAACCTTTCTCTTCTTCTTCTTCTTCTTCGCAGCTGGCACCACCTACATCTTCGGAAAGGGCGGGGGTCTCATCACCTACACGTGGCCGAACAACGAGAGACCGAGCACGCGAACGGACCGCCTCGCCGTGGGTTTCAGCACCACCATCAAAGACGGTATCCTGGTACGCATAGACTCCGCCCCCCGCCTCGGAGACTACATCATGCTGCACATTGTGAGTACCGAGTCGAGTCCTCTTGACCATTTCCAGTCTTGCATTATTTAGCAGCTTAAAACCCACTAGTGCCCCATTCAAATCACTTAATTACTTTGAGGCTAGACATCTGGAGCAAGCTAATTACCAAAACACTTTTCCTTTGGCTGCTGGAGCACTTACCATGTCTGGCCAAGAGGAAGAATGGAGTTTTTCATTGTTCAAAAGTGCTATATGATTACAGTGCTGAACATGCAATCACTATAAGAAATAGTTCGGTAAAGTTTGGGCAGAAAATGACATGGTACATAAGCAGTTATGTTTCAAGGGTGAATTTATGGTACCATTGAAATTTAAAAGTTTGAGTCGGAAATTTATGGGACTGAGTCATATTTGTTCTTGTTGTGAATCTGGCTTTTGATTATAGCTGCTTATTGAGAATTTGCTGTGCCATTAGGGAAGATAAATTGCTACCAAAAGAGATGATTGCTAATTGCAGTTGATGTCATAATCATTTCCTGAGGGTGTGAAGCTAACTGAAAGCACTACTCTGTTAGATGCTGTGTAACTCAAGTTTGACTTTAATCAGAGCTTTATTTTAACACAATCTGACCAGAAAGAACTGACTTGGTTGGAACTACAAAATGTGAGCTGATTTGTGCTCTTACCATGGATCTATAATAAAAACTGGATAAGACATTCCCCTTTTGTCCCGGCTCGAGATCGACTAGTGGCCGCTCCATTTATACTGCAGCTCCCGGCAGCTTGGGCCCAAAAAGAATTCTCCCATGCACAATGCATTTTTTGTGAATTCAAACTGCCCATGTTTGGCTGATTGGGAGGGCATCAACAACTTACACAAAGGTCAGATTTTGTATGGATTATTTTCTATTTTCACAACATAACCTTCTAAAATGTTTTAAATCCTTAATGTGCCTAAAAGTTAGTTTTGTAAGACTTAGCCTAGCCTCACTCTGAGCCTGCACTTGCTCCGCTCTAGCAACTCTTGCTCTGATTGGTCCAAACGTCCAAAACACAAACAGTGACTTTTTTTTTTTTTTGGGCCCATGCACCATTGAGCACAGGCACATTGTAAACAATACAGCACCATCCTGGATTTATCTTCCAGATTTTATTACGGAACTCAAACATAAAATTACAGTCACAAGAAAATGTGAAAATTCAGATGTGCTGTTTAAATCCATTGTGTTTTGAGTTTCCAGATGATCATAAAACTTTTTTTTTTGTCTGTGTTTGCAAATTTGTGCATTGTGGCTCCATGGAAACTGCTGAACGTTCCACCAATGCATTATAGAACACCCCCAGCTCGATGCCATGCAAAGTATCAATACAGTAAAACCACAAGATGAGGCTTCTATTAGGTCATTGTTTGTTCATAGAATTTGACATCTAAATTCATTTTATGTTGCTCTTCGCACAACAAACAAGTCTCAAGTATTGCTGTATAATTGTGTGTGTGGTCTCGACTCTATCTGTGAACTTCCGGTTGCCTTAGGAATGATCACAGTGTTGAATGAATGCAATAACACACTTTACCCTCTGGCTACTGACCACAATCTCATCCACAAAACAAACAAAAAAAGTTCTACATCAGTTTATATCTTGGAGCCACTGCAAATAACTCTATTTAAATAATGTTAAAGTTGCATTGCGTAACAATTCTTATAGTGGATGTACCTTTTACTTATTGTCATGGCAACCAGCCCATCTATGTATCATTTTATTAATTACGTTTTTTTTTTATTGCTTGCAAGATTCGGTGTGATGCAGTGAACTTGCCAACCTCTTCACAGATCTGACTTGTAACTTGGCTTGATAGGGCACCTGCTTGTATCCATGGTTTCAAAGTGGAAAACCATAATGTAGAACATTCTAGTCAAAGCATGGAGAAAAGTAAGAAGTATACTCTACCCGGAAAGTTAAACTGTTGAAAAAATTGAAATACACCTACCCAAACAAACACATAAGTTGATATATTAACATTAATGCCTATTTTAACTCTATTTGTCATACAGGAGCTCGTCTCACTCTCCAGAATTTACAATGCAAACCTCTGGCCAAACTCACAGCATCATTCCGGTACTGAATTATAGAAACCAATCCATAAAAGTGTACAGACATCTCACTCCACTCGCCTCTTCTCCTCTTCGCCTCTTCTCCTCTTCTCCTCTTCTCCTCTTCGCCATCTTCTCCCAGAAAAACCCCACTTCTTCATCACATTGGAATTGGCTCCCAGCATGAATAATGAATGCTCTCTCCATGCATATGCAGCTGCCTGGAGCCGAGGAGTTGGGATTCCCAGCCAGTCGTCTGCTCATCCACACAGCATTTTAATAATCAGTCAGCTCGACCTTGTCTTTGACTGGTTTACACAGGAATTACGTATTAGCATAATCATCTTTGGCGGCAGGCCCTTATATGTCGGTATAGAGATGTAACGCAAAGGATATTGTCGAGTTTCTGATGATGTGGTGGAATAAAACAGCTACCGTCAACAGTTAATATCAATGAGATTCAAAACATCGCAACTCCTGTCCAATTTCATAAGTCAAGACTTCTTCGTTTGCTGCTGCATCAAAAGATTCTGGTGTCTTGTGAGGCTTCAAATCACAGGGTCCCTCTTGATTCAATACACGATACATGGCTCACAATACAATATTATCACGATGTGTCAATAACTGATATATTGCACATTATATTCTGTGATATATTGATATTTTTTAAGAACCAAGTACATTTTAGCCACAATATTGCTTTGTTAATCATCACTGAAATTGAATATTTCAAGTGCATTCCATAACCAAGTTTTCAAACAAAATTTTAGTGTGGTCACAAAAAATATACACCAAACATACTTATGGATATATTGTTAAAACAGCTCTCCATAAAAATACTGTATCATCAACTTTAGTATCACGGTATATTGATATTTAGATATCTTAAGATATTTTTGCACATATTGTTTCTTCGGCTGCGTTCAGACTATGTGACCTGTATCTGATCTAATAATCTGATTTAATGACAGTCTGAATGACACAGATCAGATTTTTTCAAATGCGACCCAGGTCACGTGGTCCTGAAACCAATACATATCCGGTCTTTTAACATGCGACTTCAGTCTGAACGGTCAAAGCGCATGAATCCGACCTACACGTTATCAACATGCCACAAACGTCACTATTCTGCGCTGAAGTAGGCGAAAATTGTCAATGAACTCCGTGTCACTGAAATGAAGCACATCACCACTCACCACTCTTGGCTACGTCTCCGCATCCACACGTTCCTTTCAAAAACCTCGTCCTTCTCCTTCTCAATCTCCTCCTTAAAACAAGTAAGTTGTTCATGTTCTGGCTCCGGTACGAGAGGAACTTTAAAATCTCCAGGTGCTCGATGCTGCGTCCATGTTTGGACAACTTCTGTAAACACAGAGACGCTCACTGCGGTTGACGTCATCGTGTCTCCAGTGCACATGTGGGACACTTTTGGGCTGTTTAATGTTCACACTGGAGTCACATACAAGTCACATTTAATTGGAAATGTGAACTACCTCGCAAAAACATCGTATTTCACAAAAAAATCGGAATTGTGCATTAAGCCCTGCAGTCGGAACGTAGTCTTAGAGTTTTTGTTATAGGGTAAGTTTCATTGAAAAAACAAACATTGACCAATCACTCGTCCTATCACGATAATTACTATATCGTCTTTCAATGTATGAAATCTGGAACAATATTTGGGCTTGAATATTTATCATGTGTACATTTTCTTTGCAATAGTGTTGAAATTTTGGTTATTTCAGTTGTAATATGATAAGATTTGAGGTGTACAAGGCTGAATAAGTATCGCCTATGACTAATTATTGGATTATTAGGCTATTTATTTACTTTTAGTGATATTGTCTATTTAAGTAATTGTGTACTGGGATTATCCTGCTTTATTGTTGTGTCAGTAGCATGAAGTAGTTTCAATATTATCTTTATCATATTATATCTCTGTTACAATACATCGTGCTTTGAAATCTGTTATCATGACAAAAATGTTGGTAGGCCTGTATTTGCATATTCAAAACAAGACCTCAATATAAAATCAAACCAAGGAATTGTACAGATAGCATGGACATCTGCTCTCATATCATATAAGTCTGGTTATGAATTATGAATTTTGAAAGATATTTGAGATCATATTCATTCACAATAACACAATTTGAAGTGTGAGGTACTGTAGAAAATATAGAGGATAAACAATTTTACTTTCAGATATTATGACATACATAGAGGTAATTCTGTTACCTAGCAACTGTAACATTAACAACTCTGACATCTAGGTTTAATTAGACTAATACATATTGATGAGAACAGCTTTATTTTAATCAAAGTGTAATCACAGAAAAATGTGTTCCTTTATTTTGGTCATATTACTTTTATAAACAACAAAGCAGGAAAAAAACAATTCTTCCACAAGTAAAATTGTCGAGAGATAACTTTTTAGAACTTTGGTACTGCTACTTCCTTTTTTTTTGTTTTTGTTTTTTTTCTTCTCAACTTTTTTTTCCCCACAAATTGCCACTTAATTCTTGTAAAACTCTGATAAATATTTAGTATCTGTTACTGGTACTATCCCACCCAATGAAGTAATAATTAGAAAAACATGAAAACCTTTGATTACACACAGTACACGAGGAGGTCAGGCCCACCTCTGTTGACACCATGTAAAATCGCTGTGTTGATGAGGAGGGGCTACAGTTACGGAGCAGATTGAAAGTCTTAAAGAGTTTCCTGGCCATGTGGCGCCCAAAACACGCCATCTGCTCGCCAGAAGATGTGGCCAAAAACAACCTGGATAAAGACGGGCTTGCCAAGGTGCAAAAAAGTAAAATTGGATCGGTGTTTATAGACCAGAAAAGCTTAAAAACGGAATGAGAGTGAGGAAAAAGTTGGGTGAAAAAACTCTTGTGTGATTTTTCTAGCCTGTAAATATAATCCTAAAGCGACAATCTGGGAATA